AGCCCGAGGGGTGCTGGGGGGGGGTGGGGGGGAGCGGGCGGAAAGGGCCAACTCAGCCGCTCCCCAAACTCATATAGAGGGCCTATCTCTCACGCTTTCAACCCCACCACACACAAGGAGGCTTCCGCAAAGCAGAACTCGCCTCCTCTTGAAACAAATTAAACAACAACAAAGGGACACAAAAACATCAACACTCTTATACAGGTGCACACAGAACACACTAAAAGTTTACACCAGAGAATGTCCAGCATTAAAAACTACCAAAGCAGTGTCTTTTGTCCCTTGTTCGGGAACTTTCCCTTTCTAGAATTTCAGTATATTCCCAATGGACTATTCAAAAAAGAAACAAACAAACAAAAAATGCCCTTGGTCTAGTTCCAGATCTTTGATGATTAACCATGGAGATGCTGATAAAAATCACAGTGCATTTTATTTTATTTATTTATTTAATTTTTAAAAAATATTTTATTGTTGAAAGCATTAAATATGTCCCTCTCCCCCATTGGTCCCCTCCAGCTTGCCCTTGCCCGAGGCCCTCTCTGTCCCATTGCCTGTGTCCTATCCTCGAGCCATGCACATTCGCCCACTCCCCCCCCCCTTTCCTCCAAGTTTCTGCACTCTGTTCTATGCCTTTTTAGAACTTTAATTCCCTCCTCTGTGAAACCAGGCTGACCAATGGCTACATCACACAGATGTTGAAACAAACAAACAGGATAACTTATGTAGAATTGTTTTTAAAAATGCATATACCCACATATAAAGCATTATTGGGATTTTAGGGCTTCGTTTTTAGTAAATGAAAAATCAATAATATGTTGAATTATCTCTCAGAGTATTGAAAACCCATTACCATTATTTGTATTCATAAAACCTCATAGAGGGTTTAAAAGGTTTAGCTTTTGAACTTCACAACTATCAAATCAGAGCAAAATTGCGAAGGTGCAGAGCAGAGAGCTGACACATGGCTTTCCCTTATCTTCTCTCTGCAACCCATCTAGATTGCACTCGGTCTTTCTAGTCAGCCAGTCTAGACATGTGTTTCTTGCCACTAATGTCTTTCAATTTCTTGTGCATGACAACTATAAAAGATGCTAAGTGCCTTGACCATGCCCTAAAGAAAGGTAAAGAATGCTTCCCTTTTTAAATCGACCAATGTAAAATTTAACATGGAAATGCTCATTAATCTTATTTTTCTCTTCTGTTTTTATTATTGAATTTATTGGGGTAACATTGATTAGTAAAATGATACGGATTTCAGGTATACAATTCTACAATGCATCATCTGTATATTGTATTGTGTGTTTACCACCCCAAATGAAGTCTCCTTCCATCACCATTTATCCTCCTTATACCCTCTTCTATCTCCCCTGACCCCTCTTCCTTCTGACAATCACCATACTGTTGTCTGTGTCCATGAGTCTTTATTTCTTTTGCTTAATCCCTTCACCATTCTTACCTAGCCTCCCAACCCCCTATCCTCTGATAGCTGTCAGTCTGTATCCATGAGTCTGTATCCACTTTGTTGGAAATTAGATTCCTAACATATAAGTGAAATAATATGGTACTTGTATTTTTCTGACTGCCTTATTTTGTTTTATAATACCCTCCAGGTCCATCAGGCAGGTAAATATCCAAAAGAGACAGCTATAAAAAATGGCATATAATTGTGGATGAAAGGGGCCACATGCTAACCTCACAAGCTCGGGGAAGGCCTGCATGACAGTCTTGCAAACTCAGAGACCTAAAGTAACCACGAAGGATGGTCTGAAATTAAACTTTAACTAAAAGCAGTTATGGTGGGCAGTTACATCCTAGGCTGGTATCTTCACTGACAAGGTCAACCTTTACCTTAACTGAGCCTATGTGTCTTTTTGGATCTATAATAATATACCCTTGAAATGTCTGGGTAACTTTGTAACTTCCCTTTTTGTGGACCCCTTGAGGCACAACCTAATGTGCCTGGGCTGCAGGACAAATACCACAAATTCCTTCATTGTTATGTTAATTGTTCCTGCACCCACCTAAGTATGTGTCCATCATTTTACTTTTTATCCAATCCCAGCGGTTTCCCTGCTTTGTTTTCTCCTGCCTCTCTAGTTTATCACCAATGGATTTCATGTAACCCACCTACATCCCTTTCATTTGATTGCAATCTAGTCTAATAATAGACAAAAAGGGTAATTGACTATACCTTTGCTGCGCCTCCCATTGGCTAATCAGTAGGATATGCAACAAAGATGGCAGTTAATTTGCATACGTAGGCTCCAAGTGGTGGAGCAGCCAAGCCTGATGGAAGCCCTGCGTGTTTATGCACCCTGGGGGTGCAGAGGTCCTGTCCTAGGCAGAGGCCAATGGCAAAACTTCCGACTCCAAGAAGTGGCCTGGGGGCTGGAAGGCGGCTCTTCTGACCTCAGCGCTGGAGTCCCACTGCTCCACCAGGAGAGGAGCAGAGAAAGGCCGGAGCCTCCCTCAAGGTGACCTGAAATCCCCACCCACACCAGGCAGGCCTCTGGGCCTGTGCGCAGATGACTCACCTCCAAGCCCAGCCAGTGGCCCTGCTGCAGCCATGGCACTCCGGGGTTCAGGCCCCAGAGGGACGCGGCGTGGCGGCAGAGGCGTCATGAGTCCTGGGCTCCTTGCCTGCCTTCTGGGGCTTCCTCCTGCTTCAGGGTCTCTCCCTCCGAAGCCTCCTCCTCCCCAGCACCCAGAGCAGTGGACCCACCAAGGGTGCTCCCTGCTGGCCGAGTGGGTGAATGGGGCTGCGGGGACTCCCTGGTAAAGGGCCACCTCCAAGACCCGCTCCTGTTCAGCAACATCCCCAAGATCGCGTGTCTGCACCGCGGGCTGTGGGGCAGCGTGATGGCGCCCATGGTGGAGAGGCGGGGCGTAGGTGAAGTGGGCCGAGAAGCACCAGCAGTGCCAGCGGCTGAAGCTGAGCGACATGCTCGCCAAGCCCCACCAGCAGCTCACCAAGTACCCGCTGCTGCTCAAGTTGGTGCTGAGGAAGAGGGATGGGCCACGTGCCAAGGAGGCCATCATCAGCATGATCAGCTCCATGGAGCGCTTCATCCACCACGAGAATGCGTGCATGTGGCAGCGACAGGAGAGACAGCAGCTGGCGGCCATGGTGAGCCGCATGGACACCTATGAGGTGGTGGAGGGTAGCAATGACGAGGTGGACAAGCTCCTGAAGGAATTTCTGCACCTGGGCCTGACCACGCCCATCCCTGGTGCCTCCTCAGAGGAGACGTGTCAGCTGCTGTTGGAGAGCAGCCTGAGGATGAAGGAGGGAAAGGACAGCAAGATGGATGTGTACTGCTTCCTCTTCACGGACCTGCTCTTAGTGACCAAGGCAGTGAAGAAGGCTGAGAGGACCAAGGTCATCAGGCCACCACTGCTGGTGGACAAGATCCTGTGCTGGGAGCTGCAGGACCCTGGCTCCTTCCTCCTCATCTACCTGAACGAGTTCCGCAGCGCTGTGGGGGCCTACACGTTCCAGGCCAGTGGGCAGGCTCTGTGCAAGGGCTGGGTGGACTCCATTTACAATGCCCAGAACCAGTTGCAGCAGCTGCATGTGCAGGAGCATGCGGGCAGCCAGCAGCACCTACAGAGCCTGGAGGAGGAGGAGGAGCTGGAGGACCAGGAGGAAGACGAGAAGGAAGAGGAGGGTGGGGAGAGTAGCACTGTCGCCGCCAGCTCCCCCACCATCCTGCGCAAAAGCAGCAACAGCCTGGACACCCAGCACTGCTCCTCAGAAGGCTCCACAGAGACCCTGGCCATGGTGGTGCTGGAGCCCAGGGAAACGCTCTCCTCTCCCGAGTTCGAGGGCGGCCCCTTCAGCTCCCAGTTGGGCGAGATGTTCCTCAGTACCACCGCCTCATCTGTCACACCGCTCGGTGAACTGCTGGCCCTGGGCCCCGGGGAGGGCAGCTCCTGCTCCATGGACTCCGCCTACCGCACCCTCTCCCCCACCTCCTTGCAAGACTTTGTGACCCCAGCCCCTATGGTGGAGCCAGTGCCCCGGCCCCTAGATTTACCACAGGCACCCCTGTCCAGCTGCTGCCCCGCCTGCCCTACCTGCTCAAGTCCAAATCTGAGGCCAGCCTCCTGCAGCTGCTGGCAGGGGGGGCCCCCCACCACAGCCCACCCTGGCACCTAGATTTACCACAGGCCCCTTCACCCCCGCCCTTGCCTCGCCTCCGCCGCCGGTCGCACCCCTGTGCTGCTGCTGCCCCGCCTGACCCACCTGCTCAAGTCCAAATCTGAGGCCAGCCTCCTGCAGCTGCTGGCAGGGGCTGCCACCCAGGGGGCGCTCTCAGGCCCCAGTCGCTGCCTGTCAGAACTCTGCTTGGCTGCCATAGCCACTGGCACTAGGACTTGGGGCTCCCCTCAAGAAGCTGGGCCCCACTGGAATTACGGGGGCTCACCAAGCCCTGGCAGTGGCTCCTAGCTATCAGAGATGGAGGGCAGGACCACCTGCCTGGCAGGGGAACCCGAAGGGCCCGCCAGGAGGGGCAGAGAGCTGCCCTCAGGGACCTCCCCCAGGGTCCAGCCTGAGCAGCCCC